TACATAGAAAAAAGACTTATCAAAATATTAAAGAAAATTATTATTATTATTATAGTTTCATAATAAATAGTTTTATAAAATTATGTTGAATTTCTAAATCCGTTTTGTTTTCATTCACTCATAAATTATAAATATTTGTGTGAATATTAATTATAAACTTATCTTAAATTATATAAACTGAATAAAACAACAACAAAAACTTATTAATACAATACCGGTAAAATTAATAAAATAAATTTACAATAATCTGATAAAATCTGTCAAACATTAGTGTTTTATTTGACAGAAAACGATAACATAATACTATTCTTGATCCACAAGAATATAATATACAGTATATTTTGAAATGAAATCATAAAATCTTTTCAAATCTCTGAGCAAACAATTTGATTGACAATTGAGTAAATTTCAAACATTTAGTTTGTAACTAAATTCTTGAACTAAATTTAATTCCCAAATATTTATATTAAATTTCTTTAAACTTATTTAATAAGTTTTTTGAAAAAAAAGTTTAATAATTCAATTATCGGTAGAAATAATCATAAATACATTTTTTACTATATTAAATTTCATTTTATTAAAAACATTTCAATTTGAAAATAGTATCGAAAAAATAAATGTCTCATCGAGGTAAAAGCAAAGTAAATGACAATAATATGTTTGAATACAATAACAAATATATATAGGAATCAATGGCAAGTTTTTTGATGACATGAATTCAAGTTTAATGTATCGATTAGAAAAATGATTATTAGTTTGTAGTTTATTTGATTGTATGCTAATTAAGTCTATTTAACACTCGGCCTCCCGCGCCGACGTCTCGATCTCTTTGATAGCCTTTCCACCGCCATTTCCCGGCATACTTTCATTTTCCTTTTTGGCGTTTGAATACTCTATAAACGGCTGTTGTCTACGGGTTTCATACAAATAACAAACACAAGAATTAGAGAATATTCTGCGAGAACAGCACTGGTATGCGAAAAGGACTTACATTCCGGGCTCTCCAGTGTAGTGCTCCTTTCCATTACGTCGGGAGTACACGAAACACCCGATCACTAGTATAATCACTATAATGATGGGCAGTATGACGCCGACGCCGATACCGGCTATCCTTCCCGTGTATTTGAGATCACCTGAAAGTAGCGTAACATTGGAGTCAATACAATGTCTATGAAACCAAACACTAGTTATTGCTAATTATGGGTCAAACACTTACTGATACACTCGGGGTCCACACCCCAAGACCACAGGCCG